AAAATTTTACCCAAATTGAAAACTCTATATTTTCGGAACGCAAAAAGATATCGAGTTGCGCTATTCGGGAGGTTTTTGATGAATTCTTTGAGAACACGCACCGAGTTCGACCGGTATATTTATTTCATTTTCTCATTTATACAGGGTGAGCAAAGGAAGTCATGATTTTTAGCCAAACCTGAGGCTATGTCAAATTCTCCATTTTTGATCTTGGAAATTCTCCTATGCATCTTCTTGATCTTCGGACTATCCTAAAAAGGTAATATCTCAAAATTTTCGAAAGTTGGCTATAACTTCCCGCAATAAATGCCTTTCGGCTCGATCTCGTATTTTTTTGGATTACCCTCTCCATACAAATAGGACGTTTCACTGTTTCGCCACTGGAATACATCCCTATGCTAGGGATAGGGGGTTAGTTGTTTACTTGCATTGTAAAATTTATAAATTCGGTTTAAACAACATAATGTCGAAGCAGCAAATTTTTACTGCACGCCACTGAAGGCAATAACGTTCAATGAGTACTTCATTCCTTTTTCGGGCGCAAGAAACTCCACTTTATGCAACAGTATGACGAAAAAATACCCAATCTCAAGAGAAAATCCAAAAAAGTATGTCTTTTAGGGATGCATAGAAAAATTTACGGGATCAAAAATTGAGAATCTGACGTGGCATCGAACTTTGCTAAAAATACCTGACTTCCTCTGCTCACCCTGCATAAGTGGATTGGGATTTGGGCAAAAATTTTCCACGTTGCAAAGCAACTGTCCACCAGTTGAGAACTTTAATAACTAATATCGATTAGGCTCGAATTTTCCAGAGCAGCTCACAAACCCGTATTAAGGCGAATTTGTCAGTCAATCGGCAGTTAACCAGCAAGGTCACTTGCTGTGAACGCGGAACCGCGGCTCAGGAATAAATTAGTAACGTAGTGATATGATTTTTACTGATAGATACTAATATAGATAGATACTTCTTTTTTGTTGCAATACTTTGAACTGGGTTGATGCAAAATATACCCGAATGGTGCCGCCAAAACTTTATCTGAATCATTCAATAAAAACGCTTTATTCAAATTGAAATGGCATTTAGTTTATGTCTCTGGCTTTATATTTGTTAGTTTTTTCTCTTCAGGGTTAGGCTTTTATTAACGCATTTAGCATTCAGGCTTATATGAACTTTTGGTGATATGTTTTTCCTAATTTCAACATAATTAGCAAAGTTACCATGAAAAAACGAATTTTGAAAAAAGTTTAACAACACGAGAATTGAGTAGATATGGATATCACAAATCTGAAATATCAATAAACAATTACGGAGTAGTAAAGTTCACTAGGTATTATTAAAAATAATAATCAAATCAATATTTTGAGATTAAGAAAATGAAAACATATACAAGTGTGTTTGAAGTAACAAAGTTAATTTGCACTTAAACAGCCCTAACACGTGAACACTAGATTAAAGAAAAATCGACCATATTTTGGTGCAACATCTCAAGTATTGCCCTGTCACGTATTCTATCTATAATTCCTGATTAAAGATGTCGCTCTTTCATTCAAAAACACCAGTATATTTACTTTTTCCTAAATCTGCAACATTTGGGGCTGTCTAAGTCTTCTACTCTTACTTACGCAGCTCTGATGGAAACACACGCGGAGTATCAATAAGATATTAAGCACGCCCACTTTAAGCTACACACCGCGCGGTGCCTCATTTGGTTACTGACTCACATAGTCATAGTACCCTTTGACGGAGGAGAGGAGGGAGACAGTGTCGGAATGACTCGCTATGATTCTTTCGGTACTTAAAATCTCAGTAATATTAAAGCTTTGGTATTTGTGTTACTAGAAAAACTTCATTCTAGCCTAAACGCCCTGCAAAAAATGTACCAACTTTCAGGACACTCTGTATTCGATTGTTTACAGTTTCGCACATGGAGATATCCTTTTGTGCTTTTTTGATTTACTTATTGGGTTTATTAACATTTTGAATAGAATATTATTCTTATGGTCAGACCCTAAAGCTTCATTAGGCATTTCATTTACTAAATGAATATACAGGCTGTAACCGTTATGACAGTCATTATTTAAATGGTTGATAGAAGTGGTTTAAAAATAGCAAAAAGGTTCCATATAACATGGGGGTCAAAAGGGCTTTTTGTTTAGAGAAAAGCGACTTTAAAGTAAAATAAAATCTGAACGCCGTAATGCCAGACGCAAATTACGACGAAACGTAATGTAAATAAAGATGGAGTTTGTTATTTTTGGCTCTAAGGTATTATTTCATTATTTGATAATGTACTCGTAAAATTCAAACAATTAAAGAAACGGTCTTACCACTAACTGTCTCAGCGCTTCACCTGGTGTGTGGAAGTTTAACGTATTAACGTATTAAGATAATCCACTTATAAATAGGGAACACAATTTTGATACATACATTGTTTTTCTTTTTAAAGCCCACACTGCACGTTTTTGGTATTTAAGAAGGTGTTCAAAATGTCGTCCTCCACTTTCCACACAAGCTTCATTATGATGAACCCAGTTTCTTCTTACTCTAGGTCCTCGAAGTTGTCCATTCATTATTTCAACCGCATTAAAAAATTTGTCGCGACGACGTACGCGAACGAAACAAAACAACATACTAACCACTACTACCGTTTGCGATTGATTGCCGGTTTGATAAGGGTGATGATGACCGACGCGCTATTGTCATGTGTGTTTTAAATATTCAATTTAATCAAACTTACTTACTGACTACAAATTTTGACTTAACTCATAAAAACTTAATGCCATTTATTTGTTAATTACCCAATTTAAAAACGTTTTCGTTTATATTATAAAGATTAGTAAGATTGTGGTCGATATAAAGCACTTAGTTGTAAATTATAAAGCCATTTAGACAAAAATCTATTGACTTTTGGACCATTGGTCGTATGAACCTTTTGACTTGTTTTGACCCCCACTTTTACCCATTTCAATAATGATTACTATAACGTTTACGCCCTGTATAAAATCTGTGATATATATTTCCCTTGTGACTTCCCCTTAACATGTCAACGCATCGTCCAAAGTATGATAGTTTATGATAGTTTTATAAGAACATACTTGATATTTTTCTTCTTTAGTCTGGTAAAGCAGCAACTTCAGTCTGTGGCAAATGTCATCCTTGTGTGGCCTTCTGCAAACAATGAACCTGTTTTTTGCTTCTTTGAATCGCAAGAACTGTTCAGAAGATCCAGACCCAGGCCAGACTCCACCTGTAAAACTGTTCGCACGCCTCGTCTGTTGCTGATCTGACTATGATGTTCACACTTGATACGGTTCAGGGGCTGTCCAACTGATCGATAAGACTTCCTTAGCAGACGGTTTGAAGGTTTATTCACATCAATGGGTGTTCATTGAGGCGGCTGTTTTCTACGGGTGTACCAACATCCTACTTACTGTCTTCCATGACGCCGATCTACGCTTACAAGATAAACTCGTCACTCTTTTATTTCTTATCCTAAATTTGGCAATGAGGTATTAAAAATATGGATTGTCCTTCCAAGCGACATCTATTGGTGATGTTACAGTCTGACGTTAATAGTCTGAACATAATCATGGTCAAGGATACTCTCCTTTATTTGCCGGGAGTGAAATTCATAGTGGAGGTAACTGAATTGATGGCCGCGCACGCGATGGACAAAGAAGGCAAAATCATGAGGCATATAATGTTAATATAGGCGGAATTTCTGTGATGAAAATATTCTGAGAAGTCAATTGAGGCGTCGCAAAAGGTACAAATGCTCTATCATTTGCCGGATCAAAAGCTATGGATGTTGTGATTAACCGTAGGTGAAAGACCGTATCTGACTGTCGAACGCGGAGGTACAACCCGGCAGATCTCTAAGGGGGGGCCAGATTGTGTTCATGTTGCATGGACACGTGTTCCCTTGCTAGAGTTCGAGTGGCGTCTCCTATCCCCCTATAGCTCCACGGTATCGATGGGTGTTTAGGCCTTAGACCTTTGTGGTCATTCAAGTATAAAAAAGAATTATCAGTTTGAAACTCAAATTGTTCCTATCCTCATATCGACTGATATTTTCATTAATATCCATTTATTTTTATATTGCACGTATCATTTAGAAATATTTCTGCTCGACATCCGCTATGTGGCGCCATCATCGCGCACCCAGCAAATAGCCCTTCAGCGAAACTGCCGCGGGGTCTCGGACTATAACAGTCAATGAAATCTTCCACGCCCTCTTGATTTATAATCAAGAAATTCGAGCGAATGGTTTCGAAAACGTTCAAACTATTACCAAGGATAGAATTACCCGAAGGTTCGTATTATATTAGTATCGATTCTCCTAATAACGGCCTCCGTATAAGAGGGATAAGCAGAACGGCCCTAAGGAAACCCGCTCATGCGAGAAATTCTGCACGCCATACACATACAAGTTGGTAGTCGCAAGTTGCAGCGTGCGATGTCTGTCTAAACTTTCTACAAACGCTCTCGCTCGGTTCAGTTAGCTGTGGGAAACGTAAATTGTGTGTTTGATGAAAACTGTTCTTATACAGGAGTTGTAGTTTTCATAGCACTTGTTGGTGTATGTGCTGTGTAACTAGTTCATCTAAATGAGTTTAGTTTTTAGCCTGGAGATAACTGGAAATCCTGATTATTACCCGTCAATCTGCAAATGGCAAAGATATTACCAGCACAAAATTTTAACAGTTGGTTAATCAGGTAGAGACCCGAATTAAATTTAGCTTCTGTTTATTCAGAACATTGGAACTTTTAGAGAAAATGGAGGGCGTGGATATGTGAACTGCTGCCGAACCACATCACTTGGAACTTTGGTTAAGAAGTTTTTTGGCGGTACTCTAAAAAAATCAGTTGATTCGACTCAGGGTGATCCAGTGCTTTGCACTTATACAGGCCATGAAGTGTCGATTCAATACAGGAGAGTCTCATTGGCTAATGTGTCTTATAAGAAGACCTGGGACTATACGGGGTTCATTCATCTAGTCCATAAGTTCCAATATTTCTTGCTGTTGTTTTACCTTCTCTCTAACTTGATTCATTACTGAGTTTTTGCGCTTTTCAAGATAAGCTTTGTACGAAAAGTTTACCTTGAACATTTGTATAGTTTTTGATAAAAATAGTTAAAGATCGAGTTTCTCACGAGAGTCCATGATAACGTAGGGATTATCTCTGGAACAAAACTGTCGATTCCATTCAAACCTTGAAAAAAATGGCATCCAGTAGGTTAACTCTGTGCTTCCTGAACAGCTCTATCATCAGTTCATAAAGAATTGTATTCGGCACAAGTTGGCCTTGTCAGAATAAAGTTAGCTACGAACAAAAAACAAACAAATGAATCCAGTTAATAAAACAGACTCGTACAACCAAAATTTGTATATTTAGATTGTTTTGCTGAAAAATGTTGGAACTCCTTAGGATTAGGGTCCCTGTAGAAATATGCTACCCTCGCCATTCGCAAAGTTATCTCTTACCGGTATATAATCCTTCCCCTTCCCTTGAGAAAATTCCTGCCTGCATACATGATCGAAGCTGTGTGTCCATCTGACGTAGATGACGAAAGACGAATGTCCGGGTCTAATTGCTACTCACATGCGTCGGCTGTACCGCGAAGCGTCTGATCGTCACGCGAGGGTCGGAAATATCTCTCCATCATTCTAAGTTTAAGGATAAATAATGTGCGTGGAAATATGTCTAATAGGTGCGTAGAACCACCGCGGCTGGACACGCAAAAATGATCAGGATCATCTGATACGTTAAAAAACGAAGTTTGTGACATTTTTATGTTTTTTCTGTCTTTCTAGGCCCTAGCTGTTCCGCTACTGAATCGATGTTTTGAAACTATGCATTTATTTTTGTTCTTGGCAGCATCTTTCAAATTTGTAGCGGGGTCAAAGATTAGCGAATAGACAGTCAGACAGGCAGACTGCTGGAAATGGGTGAGATGATTTCTTGTGATGTATGTCATATAACACAAAAACATAATAGTACATTTAAACATCAAAAGTTACCCACTTTCGCTGACAACAGCACGATATAGACTTGTGTTAAGGACAAGGACACGTATGTGTCAGACCGTTGATGAGCGGCAACGGATGGAGTTATTCGCTTAACGAGAAGACACCCTAATTGGCAGAGTAAAGGCAAATCGTGCGAAGAATCACAATGACCACAATGTTACAAGATATTTACGCTGTATAAATTCCCCAGCGACATGGTGATAAATACAATTGTCTCAAGGCTACCATTAAATAATACGGAAAAAACGAAGGCGGAGTTATTGAAAAAGTAAAAGAGAGAAAAATCTTGTCATATGCGTCAATCTTACAGGGTGTCCCAAAATAACGAGTCAATCTCTTGCATAAAACATAAAAACTAATGCCATACACTAATATAAAAATATACTTCAGGGATCGTCTTATATTTAATATTTTTGTTATTTGATTATATTATATTATAATGATAAATTCAATGAAAACGTATTTTTATATGTTCATTTCTATATCATATAAAATATCAAATATTATTTCATTATTATGTTATTATGAGGTAAATATATACACGTATACTGAACGTATAATAGTTAAACTGATAAGCCTTTGCAGTTGGTACAGTTCGTCACAAGTTTTTCTGTCAAATACAACCACTCGGTTATGGACTTTCAACGCTAGAAAGATAACCATATATACATATAATAACTAGTGCAAAAGATAATCGCACGTCCACGAGATATAGGGATGTAAAATTAGCTTTTCTAAGTCAAAGCATTAACTTTCTGACGTGCATTACAGTTTAAAATAACTGTTTAAAACCTCCTCCAAGAATTAAGAAAACAATTTAGCCAAGTTAAGCTTTTATTGAAAAATGACAAACAAAAATTGTATACGAGCATTTGAAGTGATTTCTAGTCTCTACTTCAATAAATAGTATTCTGATGAATATTTGGCACATTTTAACTTAATTTAACTTTCTATTCGAACTTTTAATTTTCTATGTAAAATGCACCTCAAGTCAGTTTTATGATCTCCACAAGCATTCTTTTTGCACTTCATGCATGGTAGCTTTGACATTCTAAGGATTTTGAATGAACAATATGAATAGTAGTAGTCGTGGTGGGGGGGGGCGAACCCTAGGTCACATTTGACTTTTTGTCGACCCTTTTTACCGACACTGTGCTACCCCACATGCTTATCTACTGGTCATTGAAAACCGCGCTTCAGCGATGCGATCTATCTATCAGGTAACCAAATAAGTTCGTGCGGTTTTTAGTAGATAAATATAAACTTTTATTGAGAAACAATAAGATACTAGTTATTCGTCGAAGTAATTACCATCACATTCAATGACCAACGTGGAACCAATTTTTGTATGCCGGTATTGTAGAACTCTCTGGATTCGGAGTAAAAAAATTGACGGACCGCATTTATTACACCATCTCTAGTTGTGAACTGTCGATGCCTCATTCAGTTGTCAAGAGACAAAAAAAGGTGATAATCACTGGGTGAATTGTTGGGAGAATATGGCGGGTGCCGTAACGTTTCCCAGCCGAGTACAGAAAGCTTTTCTCGGGTCACTTTTGCGGTTTGAGGCTTGACGTTATCCTGCAAGAATATCACTTTCTTCCGATGGATCAAAGAAGGCTGTTTCTGGATGAGTGCTGCTTGTACTCGTTGAAGCTGCTCATAATACAAGTTAGCAGTGATGGTTTGACCTCTCTCCAAAAACTCATAATGGACAATTCCAGTTGCTTTCCACCAAACACACAACAAAACCTTGTTTGGCTGCAAGGAAACCTTGGGCGTGTATGGTACTGAATCAGTAGGCGAAAACCAATGATACGAACGCTTAGATTCGAATACAAGATCCATTTTTCGTCACACGTTAATAACCGATTAAAAAATGGTTCATTAGCGTTGCCTCAAAGGCTTGCTGAACAAATAGTAAGACGACTTAATTTGTCAGTTCATGTGGGACCCATTTACTTAACTTCCACGTCTTTCCTAGCTGATGAAGATGCAAAAGAATAGTTTCAGGACTCACTCTGAACAGTTCTGCAAGTTCTTGGCACGTTGTCCTGGAATTTGCGTCCACATCCTGCCGAAGATCCTTTCGAACAACAACATCCATGGCAATGTGCGATATACAGCAACCGCACGAACTTATTTGGTTATCTGATATTTGATCGTGCACCAATTCAGAGTGAACATGTATAGACAATCACAAATTCCAATGTAACTTTTGAGGTCGGGATTCAAACTCTCGAGCCTTCAAGCCTATTTGACTACCTTAACCCCCATGGGCAATATAAACAATACCTTGTTTTTTTTGCAGGCGGCACTGCCCGCATTATTATTTTATCGTCATTTGGCTTCTTCGACCAACTTATCTTCAGTATCAGTCTGCACGTCATCTCCTGAGACGTTAACTCCAACTTCATTTCCATATTTTGATGACGAAATTTCTTCAGTTTCATTTAAAAATATTTCAAATTGAATACTATTTAGTATTCTTCGGTTCGCTATTAGGATAAATAATAGTAAGTAACCGTGAATAACAAATAAACAATATATCTGAACAACCTACAGAAGTTTTATAAAAGATAATCATACTTATCGCGTACAGCAGCTCAAGCAGCTAGCACGCTGCGACTGATAGCAAAGGGTAAAAAAACAAATGTTATTCTATACAATACAATGTATGTCCTCGAAACAGCTCACGTATGCCGAATTCGGACTCTTTATTACACAGTACCAACAAGGCTTAAAGTGCATATAGTGCAATATACATGATAGTCAACCTAGTTAAAGATCGCAATAGACCAAATTCACTATCTCACTCGCCTCCGGTCGCACTGACGGCATATTTGCACTGTGTCTGGCATAATGTAAAATCCATTAATACTGCCTGGCTGCTGGGTCAACATTTTTTTAAGTCCCTCAAAAAGCATTCTGCTTTCAAGCTATGACAAACGTTCAACTTTAATTTATTAAAGTTTATGGATGTCCGGCAGGGGTTTGAAACTGTACTGTAAGACAACAGACGTCGTTGTTTCTAAGACGATTCTGGGCAAAATATCAAAAAAACTGCGCTTTGATTGTGGTACTGCTTTATATAGTACACCTTGGCTGCCAAAGTAACCGCTAACCAAATTTCACAATATCTGATCGTTGGTACCTGTGTTGCGGACATCCATAGATAAATTTTCACATTCTATAAAATAATTAAGACCTCACCGTCGCGGGCTTTTGCTATATCAGTAATTGCTGTCGTACCGATCCAGGTATCGTATAAAATTTTCTACATGTTTCGAGCACTGATTAAAGCATTCTTTCTGATTGGTCCAATTTGCTTCATAGCAGTAAATTTTGCTCCAAATAAAAGAAAGGTTATTGTAGCTAAAACATCCTTAATTTAACATGGGAATTAGGGTTATAGCTTATTTGTTTGTTCGTACAGCCTGTTTGTTCATTATAACCCAGTTTAAGCAATTAGCTGTCACTGACATGTCGCTGACTGTATTGATTGCGTACATGAGAACGTTACGACTTGACTGAGGGAGGTAAGACCGATTACCGACAACTAATTTGCTGTTTGTAGAGAAACTGTTTGATGACTGTTAAATTAGTCAGCAGATAATTTGCCAATAAATTGTTAGAGCGCGAAATCAAGTACAATAATTATTCGAGTGTAAAATTTTTCAGACTGAAGTAGATAATTTTGGAAAAGTTTGGGTACATTCATTTGCTGTAGACCAGAATGATCTAGGATTTTTGGTCTAACTGCTCGAATGTGCCTGAATTTTACTCTACAGAGGAAAACATGGACACCATCTAGAAAAAATAACAGCACTCAAAAATGTCAAGTAGACTTACTCAGTAATACCCATTCAATTCTCATATAAAAAAGTATAAACATACATCCGAAGAAATATGATTGCACACATCGAATGACAACTTGAAGAAGTAATTACACAGTAAGAATTCTGAATGAACATCTGCAGTGATTATGCATGAGAAATATACAAAGTATTGTGAATGACTTTTAGTAAAACTCGGAAAGTAGGGTTTTTGTTCCCTGTTCCCTTGAAAAA